TTCGACAAAATCATTTACTTAAATAGTATACTCGGATACTAGATAACTGACCTTTCAAGTATGACATGAAGCAGTTGATCAAAGATGGTTTAACACCTATTTTCTTGGGTTTGTCGATAAAGCAAAACATGGATCACCCAATCAAATACTTTTTAAATATCAAGATACAAGGCATCAAATTTATGCCTTAAACAGAATATACTAGTCCAGTTACCCACCAGAATCAGGAGATTCGTTATTAAGGTAAGACTCTTTTTGGAACCATCCCGTTTAGGTTAAAGGACCAGTGAAATAAAATTGAACCTCGACTAAATTCTCCATTAATCTGGATTCATACTTACTTTGAAAGAATAATAATTGACCCTTAAATGTTTTATCGAAATATCACATGGCAAACTATTACTACTGCCCTGCCATAACCTATCTTTGTGTTAGTTTAGTTTGAGCTCCTTAATGCAGACAGCCTTAATGTTGGATCCGATTTCTTTTTGTGACAAGCGGTGTCCAAAATTAGTGCTTAAACACAAACTCCCCATACAAGTTCTCTAAAACAGCTGTTGGATGAGAACTTTGATCATAAAGAAGGACGTTTTACCGGGTTAAACCGATTTAAAGGGGTATGCATTTACTTATATTCATCTGTTTACGCCTCGACCAATCACATTCAGTAGTCATTGCGAGATTTCCGGTGATCGAAAAGTTGAATCTCAGTCGACCTTTCATGCCGGAAGGTAACCCTCGTTTTATTGATAGAAGAAACCACATTAGTAGTGAATAGGTCTTCATTTAGCTCATGAGACAGTCACAGCGGAGCAGACAAAGCACACAACACTTTTCAGTGTTCAGTATAAGATAATAGTAAATACAATGCTTAAACAAAAAGGAAGTGAATGAATACTGGAGCCTTATTTTTTTGACATATACTTAGTTGTTTGGGATTAACTCTTAACTATTCAACCTATGTTGTTACAGACCCACCATAACACTACTGGACGCTAAAAAAGAGGACAGCTTGACTGCCAGGACTGAGTAGATCAGGCTACGCATTTATTCTATGAGATAATTTCAACATTCGCTCAATTACTTATACCTGTTACTCCTCATGGAGGAACATAGGTCGTCCATCAGCACTCCCCATCCAACCCTGTCCCGGACAATCCTTTCCAGCTTTTTCCGGTTGTTATTCATCCCTGTATTTCCCGACGTAATGTGTTCTTTGGCCTTCCTCTTTCCTACTTCCCTTCAGGATTCCAAGTTAGGGCCTGCCTCGTGATGCAGTTTGATTATTTCCGTAATGTATGTCCTATCCCCTCCCAACTTCTTTTCCTAATTTCCTCTTCAGCTGGAAGTTCGTTTGTCTTCTCCCATAGAATGGTGTTGCTGATGGTATCTAGTCAATTAATGTTGAATATCTTGCTCAGACAACAATTTATAAATACTTGTACCTCCTAAATGATGTTTGTAGATGTTCTCCACGTTTCAGCTCTGTACAGTAGAACTGTCTTGACGTTTGTATTGAAGATTCTGACTTTCCTATTGGTTGACGATAGATTTGAGCTCCATATGTCCTTCATTTGTAGGACTGTGGTCCTTGTTTTGTCAATCCTCGCCTTTATGTCTACATCGGATTTTTGTCAGCGTTTCCACCAAACAGGACCATGCCATCTACGTATTCTAAGTCGATAAGTGGACCTCCTGGATGGAGATCAAGTCCTGAAAGTTCAGACGACGACAACGTTTTTCCCAGCAGTAAGTCTATGATGAAGTTAAACAGGAAAAGAGATAGTGAACAACCTTGACGGACACCACATGAGGTTGCAAAATCAGATAACAGTTCGCCATAAGCTCTGACTCGACTAGTAGCGTTCGAGTAAAGAGCCTTCACAAGGTTCATGTACTTCTGAGGCAGGCCTATTAATGACAGACACTACCACAGAATCTCGTGATCTACGGAGTCAAATGCTGTTTTTAAGTAAAAAAAGCTATCATTGTCGGACGTCAATAAGCATATTTGTGTTCTAGAACCTGCCAGACAACTTATTTTGATATGCATATCTGTCCTTATCATGAGTCCGTGCCAAAATATTCACAGCTTGTTAAAAATACCCGTATACCCTCTCTTTGTTAGTCACACCTGATAGTACCTTTTTAATGCGATAACGTCTAACTTAAAGTCAACCAGATGATTTCTGCGCGCCAGTTTATTGGTGCTATGTAATGCTTCCAGATGTTTGGTAGTATCCAATGAAGTTGGGTTAGCCAACTGACTGAACTTGGTAAACTCGACAATTATTTACGGGTCAGTACATCATCTGTTTAAGTGAAGTTGTTTGTTCAAGGGCATTTAGGCTCACGAAACAAGTAGCTATTACTTTATGAGTCACGAGACTTGTAGGTAGCAGTATGGAAATTATAACGCTGGAATGAAATGAAGCGACCAAAATATGATTCTCAAGAGAATTAGGGAAATTAATTAGGCAAAAAAACCAATGAACTAAAACGTAATTATAGTCAGTTGGGCGGGGATAACGGGAAGCGAAGTCGAGGGGATAATGTGTAAGAACAATAACTAAAACTATTAACACAGTGATCATTTATGCATTGAGAGATATGTGTCAGACTAGACTATGGTGAGAAAGTGTGACCTGGTAGTGGCATTAGACAATAACCATACAATCTTCAAAACTGAATACGAGATTGCTCGGAAAATAGATATTCAATATTTAACACGGAGAAATACCTAACAATGGAGAAGGCGCGAACAAGGAATTGAATGAATGAGAGTTGATCGGATGGCATGGCTCGGCCATGCAGGCGTGGTCCTTGTTGAATGTTATCTTATATCTTCTATTCATATTAAATATATTGTTCCTTCTCTAATCTAACCTTGTTCTACATCATGTATTAGTAAATGATACGATACAGTGAGTTGGTGTATTCGATGGTATGACTTCCGCGTAAGATCTTATAGATTAGGCAGTTATATCATGACAAATCTACAATTTTAGGATTAGGTCTATTATTGGAGCAGTACTAATATCATAGTAGACCATAATTCTACAACCTTTCTTACCATTTCATGTAAAATCAATTGAGGATTGCCTCGTGGGATGGGAGAGTGGGTTCTAGGTAATAATTTCGGTCATGGTGACCCAAGATGCATAATATGTCATAAACTACCATCAAGCTGCCTTTTATTCTTTTGTGTTATAACGAGAATAGTATAGGGTGGCGAAGTCAATCTTCTCATATTTTAATAAAGCCATAAATAGAATTAATTGCACAATACTTCTCATATTTGTCCTCATCGCCCGTTTCGTTTTTGTAAGAGAGAGGACACAAAAGTACTGCAAATTTTGACATGAACGCATATGTGCGTCTTAAAGAGTATCATATTCAGATCAGATGTATTGGCGTCCAACTTTAATTGAGATCTGAGTAGCCACTTTTGATGAACCTGTCACAGTGAAAACTTATAGAGGAAACTAATATGAGTCATACAAGGTTTTGTTTGGGATTTTCGGGAGCTCAAGGGACACGTTCTTCGGCATATCACCATCAATCTACAGGGCCACCATAACGTACTTCTCAGACGTCCGTTTAAAGATCTACCCACGGTAGTTTGACGAAGACCGAAATATTTGTTAAATGAACACCCGCAAACACAGACTTAATTTTAGTGGCCCTGTTTCTGACTGCAGTCAGATAATATGCTGATTGTTGTCAAAATATACACGTCACCAACCCTCGTATACTTTTATCGATTTAATTTATGTTAGGGAATAGCACAAGAAAATGGACAAATACTAGAATATAGTTCGTACACTCATTGATTTGAATGGACAATCTGAGAAACGAAGTGCGGGAAGCGAAGTGAAACCAGACGAGGCGAGGTGCAGAGAATACGGCGAGTGAACCAACTCATCTTGATCAAGCATGACTCAATATTTTCATTCAAACGAAAACAAATTAAAGACACGTAATGAATGGCGTAAGCAATCAACACACATACGATCATATAAAAAGTCAAGGATAATAAGCAAATGAGTAACAAGGTCGAAATATGGCTTGGGAATAGTGAATAAGCTGGTCGGACTTGGTATAGTACGAGACGCTACACGATAAGTCTTAATAGGCTAAAATCAGCCTATCTACACGATGAACCACCATATGTGGTATATGTATACCTGGGAGAATAATTTTAGAATCAACATGAGACAACGAGACCCATCCAAACACTAGTAAACAGATCAAGGGATGCACAATATGTGTTTTAATATTTCACCAAGTAATAAATCTAAAAAAACAGAAAAATGGAACCGTTTTAGATGGTTGGTCTACAACGTCCGGACTATTTTATTGCCGCTAAGAGGGCTACAAACCTTTAGAAATCAAATGCAATAATTTCGGAGCAGTAGCATATACACGGTCCGAAAGCCTATAATTCAAGCTGTCTCCTGGTTTTTGCCAAGTACTAGGATTTAATATATTCCTATGCTTGTAGCCTTGCATCACCGTGTCAGTTACTTCACCGCTATACAGATGCTTTGACTTTACGGAAACAGAATTTGGTTGATTTAACTTGCAGCAACTACCCATAGTGATTGAAAGACCGAACGATGAAAGCTCCATGACAAAACTACCCAGATCAGAGACCAAAACTTGATCAAATTCATTTTAGTGAGGTAGGGAATATGATTGACTGTGCTCATAAGTGATACTCTGTGGTTTATTTGACTCATATTTGACACCTAAACACTATTCAGTATCTTATCATTGTACTCTTGAACATGTATTTGATGAGGTTCCAAGCAGACTTTAGAGTAAAGTGCACTCTGACAATATACATTAATTTCTTTACCATTGTAAAGCAAAGATGTGGTATATTTGGCTGGCATCCAGTCAGTAATTCAAAAAGACCCTAATATTTCCATATTGGTTAATGAATGGTAATTACGTTATGTAGTTACTCAGCTCACGCAGTTGATCTACGGGACCAACTTCGGGAGACGCTCCAATTCCGGATCAGTCTTTTAACTTGCTATTAAATTTCATCTACTGAAAATGAATTAATGAGGAGTTATTCACAACAGTTGTTTGAATATTGTCATATAATGAACGTCTGACCTAGGACACATTTTAAAAGATTGTTAAGATGCCGTCTGATGTAAGTGGAGTTGGTTTCTGCGTCTTTTTGATTATTTCTTTTGCGATGTCATGAAATGCTTTCCTGTCATGCTGCGAGACGAAAACATCGTTGAGCGACAAAAATAAATTCATTGGTATTTATAGGCATATGGACGGCTTTTAAGTGATAAAGAATGTGATTGTTCTAGAAACTGATATCTGAATCATATAAAATTAAGGATTTTTGTCTTCCAAAAAACAAAAATTGCAAATAGATGTTCGAAACATTCTTTATTTGTTCGTTTCTTTCTTGTTTTGAAGGAAGATATCTTCGTGACTACCTACTTTTGGGAGTTTGAAACAAAAATAATATTGTTAATTTTCACTTCGTATATGCTGTATGAGGATTTTGTAATAACTAAAGCCCATGTTGTTCAACACGGGATGTCTAGACATCACATTATTCCAGTGTATTGTTTTTCATGTCCATGTGTTTAATTAAAGTGTTTATGATCTTGACTGTTTTGAAAATTTGTATTTACTGTCACTTTGATGCGTTTTAGACTTCTAGTCTTTTCAAGGAACTAACACTCAAGGATGCTGAGAAAGCCTTGGCAGCGGATTTGGATTTGCTTGTTAATACTATACCAAATTCATCTCCAGAAAAAGAAGCGTTCATAAACCAAATGATATCTTTCAAAGAGTTGTTTAAGCAATATTTACATGACAAAACACAAAAATTCGATTGGAATATGATGGAACCTGTTCCATCTGAAAGTGTAAGATGGTGTTTCTCTTGTTTTTCATCTTTCAGCTCTTCCTGGAGTTTCACAACTTTTCAACATAATTCATTAAATTTTACATACGTTAAGTTTGTAGAGTTGGGAAAAACTGTTCTTGAGTTGATAACAGTGTTGTACGTACTTTTGAAAATTTTCACCATATTTAATACTTTGGTCTAAATATGGTTTAGTCATGGTTGCTTATCATTAATACATTTTGTCAAAACCCTACACAAATTTCTTTGATTAGTTTGGACCGAGAATGAGTATTCAAATTTATAGAATGAAGCGAATGAATTTCGCTTCTAGTTTTCTCCCTAGGTGCAAAGTACCTGAAGTTACAAATAGTAATATTATCATAAATGCAGTTCTACGTACCCTAGTCAATAATTATGTTCATAGTGATATTAATGTCTGCAGTTTTAGGTTATTTGATTATAATAAGAAAATTCGGGTTAAAACGAGTTCACCTTATTCTGTGAATCCTGTTATTCTTGCTCTGCCTTGGAAGTAAATGTATCAGTCGACTCAAAAATTACAAAATTTCCACCACAGTTGTAAGTTTTCTGAAATACTACTGGTCACAAGAAATTTGTAAATATTCATTGTTTCATCTATTGAGGCTCTATTTTAACTAGTTCTGATGCATATCTAAAGCTTAAGTGAGACGTTGTGGGTTACAGAAGTGATTAAACCAGTTTACCATTACTGAACGTTGAACATTTGGTGAAACAATATCATCTCACAAAAGTGACACACCAAATATGATAAATCTTACGGAAACACAAAAGTATAAAATTGGTTTAGTAGTATATATGAGCGGTGCAGCTTACGATTAAGAAACGTTTATTTAAAGGTACCAGTATGATGAATAGAAGCGGTCAAATTTGATGAGTTAACTAGTAATTCTCATGATCATCTAGCACCTACCTCAGTAATCATTAATCCACGAGTATTCAAATTGGAGGAAAAGTGATTTTTAACTTTAATTAGGCTCTCAGCAGTCTACTAAGTAACTGATGAGATACAAACACCACAAAGCGTCAAGCTCATTGTACTATGTCTATAAAGACTATGAGTTGCTAAACCAATGCAAATGGGATAAAGCTAGAATCCATAACTTATTGAAAGATAATCAATGTCTAGACAGCTTCAAAAACCTAAAAATAAACTGGTTATACATTTCCGTCAGCTTGTAATTACGAAATCTTACTACGAAATGTTCTGTATTTCTAAATCGATTATCATTGTTAATGGATGTATCTATCGTATTTACCAAAGTTTACGAAGTAAAATTACCATTAAGATGTGGGAATTTTGAGTTTTCGGTCGCACAATTGTTTTTTTTTCACCATATGAAATTTAATCATTTTTACCATCCTTTACTTTAGAAAACAATCTAACTTATTACTTGTTTAGCGTCTAAACGTTTGTATGTTATTTAAGTGTTTTTTAATTCCCACATTTTTCAATATCTAGATTAAAATGTACGATGCCCTTCAAGTTCCTACCAACCGTGAAGTAATCCGTCAACAGTTAAATAAGTTAGTAGTAGTGAAACTAAATGGTGGCTTGGGTACAACAATGGGTTGTACTGGACCCAAATCCTTAATTTCTGTCCGAAGTAATCTTACTTTTCTTGACTTGACTGTACAACAAATCGAGGTGAGCTAAAAGAATAGAAAAGTTGTTCAATACTTATTGCTGTTATTATGTTTACCTGAATTTATATGGGACATAAAATCATATGCAACTGAACAAAAACCACAAAAAATGTATTCATCTTATTGCTTTAGTCAGATTTATTAGTAATAAAATTGTATCAAATATTTCAAAATATTCAAGCTCAATAATACAAATTGTTAATCATGATAAGTGTACGATTATATTTGTTCTCAAGCTTTAAGTCTTTTATTTCGCCAATTCATAATTCAAGAACCAAGAGCGCTGTTAATTACCAAACAAGTAACAAGTTAGGTTTATGACAAACTAAATATAAACAACATACAGCTGGACACTATTTTTCTACGTGTTTAAGTTACAAGAGCCAACATCAGCAGATCTGGATGAGATTATCAATAAAGAAGCCGAAAGAATGGAAAGTTATTATACACAAGTCTAGTTCTCACTTTTCTGAATAATGAAAATTTCTAGAAAATAAAAAGTACTTCAATATAGTTAGAATTATTGAATTTTTTCTCAAAATATTTTATAATAGCCAATTACATTTTTAACATAACCCGGATAATTCTAATTATAAACTACTGGGATATCATATTACAAATACTTTCAACTGATCATGGTAAGAGTAGCTGAAAATCTCAATCAGCTTGTATTATTGATGTTTGGGTTGAGTTGAAATAATACCATTAGAAGAAAGCGGTTTTAATACATAGCTACCTGTTTGTTGCAAATTGTAATTTGTTCTTAAAATTGAGTTAGCTACTTATTTCTAAGTTTACTACGTATCATTGTCTGAGAAATGCTTTCGCATCTTAATTCATAGAAAGTCCCACTAGCGATCAACGTAAACACTTTTATATTACCTCCGTTTTAGAGACTAAATAATGAATACGGAACTAGTATTCCCTTGGTTTTGATGAATTCCTTCAATACACATAGTGAAACTGAAAAGGTTTTACGCAAATACCAGCAAGTTAATGTTCAAATTTTGACGTTTTTACAGAGCTGGTAAGTGATTTTATTATTAAATACAAAACTTTTCACTATTGAATCTGATTTACCAACGAAATGAAACATTCTGACACTTTCAAGTTTTAGAATAAATGATGGACAATTTTTCGAATTCCATTTAGAGGATTTTTAACACAAACAGATTCGAGTCAAATAAACAATTAAAATGTAAGAGGTAGTAGAACTATTAAGAAACGCTTATCAATATTATACGCTTTTGTATCCTATTCCATTCATAAATGATTTATCTAAGAGGATTTGAACAATATCGACTGAGTAAAATACAAACCATAGTTATTAACATTTTAAAAGTTTGACTATTTCTGCTAATTTGCCATTTATATTTTGATTTTGAAAAAATAAGTCTTGTCACTTTTTCTGCTTCGTTTAGCTATCCTCGTCTGAATCGTGAGTCATTACTTCCTATTGCTAAATGTGCTGGTCAGGAAAGTCATGATTCTGGAACAAAGACTTCTAAAGATATGAACTATAATCCGGAAGAATGGTATCCTCCTGGACATGGTGATTTCTATCGTAGTTTTGTTGCTTGTGGATTAGCAGAGAAAATGATAGCTATTGGTAAACAATGGGTTTTCTTGTCTAATATTGATAATCTTGGAGCAACTGTTGATCTAAGTATCCTTTCTTGATGACGGTAGTTATTTAAATGTTTTTTAATACAAGTTATTTGTATCGTATTCAAGTTTTCCTGAATCTAAATTATCTAAATTTATTCTACAAGTTATAGATAAAGTTTAGATGAATATTCGTCAATATTTAAAAGAACAGCTTGATAAAAATGAGTCAGTCAGTCCGCCATTAACAACGTAGAACTCGTATGTACGTACATCATTTCTAGTTGTCATACCACATTAGCACACAGATACAATTGTCGATTCAAATCCCATAATGGTAGAGGTAGTAAAATTATAAGCAGTAATCGGAAAGATTACGGTTTGTAGCTGTTATTCAATGAGTATAATCCAATGAAATAACTTTGGGGAGAGAAAAAAAGAGACGAGGATTAAGAATATTAGCATTTGGGAGAACACAAAGAGTGGATGCACCTGCGCCATTGTAAACGATTTTGAGCCATGTCATTCAAGGTCTCTAACCATCAGTTACTATCATCTCGCGGATCCCAACCAGGTAGTCTACACCTATCAACATGACTCAGTCCACTTGTCAATGACTTCATGGATTTGTGCCATGTTTTGGTCTGACCGCCCCTATCTTTCTTCCAAATTACTCCTACACCATAAAACATCGCACGTTGGGGCAGTCGGTGGCATAAAACTTATGTTTAAGGTAACGTCAGCAACTGAAATTCTAATCATTTCCAATGTTTGTTGTAGAAAGCCTGTAAAAACCAAATTGTTGGGTAAATAACTTATAACATGTTAAATTAACCATACAGTCGACCTTTTCTAATCCTACCGCTCTTTGTGGAAAGGCAGCATCACTGTTATGCTGGTTTTTTGAAGGAAACACTTTACTACCGCCAAGCCTCTGTTCAGTCAGCAGTACGACTTTGCCTTCGGATCTTTGGTTTGCTGCTTTTAGTCTTACCGCTCTTCAACCGACCTGTTTGGCATGATAGGTTCTTGAGGAATGATTGTTCCAGCCAGTATAGCTCGATTGGTTTATCACGATAGACAAGCCTGACTACCACATCAAGGTAGTAACAATGGTTGGGTCACTGAAGAAGTCGACTACACCAAGTTACAAAGTGTCAGAAAAATAACTTCATTTTTATAATTTGTTTTCTATAAAATATAAATAGAGAATAACAACTAGTTATCTATGAATTCACTTTATTCTAAATTTAAATATTTTATAAAACTATTTTCCTTAATTTTTACATGTATTTTAAAGATATTTTAAATTTTTTAATGAATAAAGAATCTCATTATGATAAACAATCACCAGAGTTTGTTATGGAAGTAACTGATAAAACACGAGCTGATGTTAAAGGTGGTACATTAACCCAATATCGTGGACATTTGAGACTTTTAGAATTAGCTCAGGTATAATTTTTATTTTATTTGATGATTATATATTTGAATATGATGAGAAAAAAAGAAGTTACAATTCCATTATGAAAACCATATCATCATCATCATTTAAAATGTTCATTTGAATTGTAGGTCCCTGAAGAACATGTGGATGATTTTGCTAGTGTACGAACATTTAAAATATTTAATACTAATAATCTTTGGATTGATTTACAAGCTTTACATCGTAGTGTTAAACAAAAAACTTTACAAATGGAAATTATAGTCAATCCTAAAACTTTAGATTCTGGTACAAATATATTACAATTAGAAGAGGCTGCAGGAGCTGCTATCAAGTCATTTAATGGTGCTTTTGGTAAGAATGAATATATATATGGTTATAATGTTCTTGACTATTGATCACTCAGAGAATCAATTACTTGATATTTTACATTATATCTTACGAATTAAAACATTCACCGTTGTTATGTTTGTGTTTGGGATGCCATCTGTTATGTAATTGCTTGCTCTTTTCTATCTATGATCCTATTGCTTATGATTGGAAATAGGAACCAAGTAAAAACAAAAAGGCTGATAGAAATGAACATGAAAAATACTGAAAACAAGTCATCAAAATAGGTCATTTAAAATCATACCAACATTAAGCTAGGGACGCTTATTTACACATTGATTTTAAATGAACATGATAATTAGTTAGTAAACACCATATAAATGAAACGTTAACCAAGTTTAGTGTAAAGCACATACAAAATTCACACATAATAATACATAGAATATAATTGTCATATTAGATCAAAAGTTCACACTTGTTATACTGAATGAAATAAACACTTAATTGGTACACACATATTAAACTGAAGTAATGTTACACTGAAAAATATAAAACCAATATCATACTGATCAAAATTTCACTTGAAATAAAATTGAACTCGTCTTCTTATTCCGACTTATCCACTATTGATTTAGATCAGGTATTTCGATCCACGAATATTATACCGAATGTAAAATGAGGTGGGCGATGTGTTTTACATATAATTAATAAGTTATATTTAAATGATGATACTGTAGTGAACAGAACACCAATGGGGACAAACGAAAGTGCTTGACAGAGAATTACAGAACTTGTTAATAAAATCTAACGATCATAAAGTAAATGCTTAATTTGCAAAATGTCCATCAATTATCTTAAAGTGAATCAGATTTTGTTGTTCTTGCATTTTCATACAAATTGCATTTTGTTTCTATTCTTTACTGTTCGACCCTCTTGTCTCTCCACTGCTAGGTATTCTTTTCCTGACTAACGTCATGTACTACTTATGTCAATATAAGTAGCACATGCCACAATACCAGGGAGTCGATTGCATTGATTTCAAGAAAAAAACGATGGATAATTAGTTACTTTAATGGTAGTTTATTTTTAGTCAAATTAACTATCATATGACTATACATGTCATTCTTTAAATGAAAATAGTTCATTCATGGATAAACTAATGTAATTACAGAACAGGATTATCATATCTAAGAAGTTTTATAATGTTACTTTTCTCTAACAAGGAGAAATTGTAAACTTTACCCCATGATTAATAATATACACATTTTGATTTCATTTCAAAGATACAATTTTACTTACATTATTTCATTTATAACCTTAATAATTATCATCTATTTTTAGGTGTTAATGTTCCACGAAGTCGTTTCTTACCAGTTAAAACTACTTCAGATTTATTATTAGTAATGTCTAATTTGTATGTATTAGATGGTGGAAGTTTATCATTGTCTCCATTAAGAAGTTTTCCATCTGTGCCTTTAGTAAAACTTGGTAATCATTTTAAAAAAGTTAAAGATTTCTTAAGTCGATTTACAAGTATACCAGATCTACTGGAATTGGATCATTTAACTGTATCAGGAGATGTATACTTTGGAAAAGGAGTAGTTTTAAAGGTAATGTTTAGACTGAAAGTAACTGTATTATAGTTGTTTTGATTTTTTATAAAATATAATTTGAACTTTAATAGTATTATATACAGAAAACAAGGTTTATACTATTATGTTTAATCAAGTGATAACCGTATGAACTTTCCTAAACAGTATCTTACGAGATGCAAATAACTAAATAAAGCGGAAAACATGAGAAGTAATGGGGTCGATGTATGTTTATCTTAATGTTAGATGGTTAGAGATATTGAGAAAAACACCTTTGATATAGGTCTCGTTAATTAGACGTACTTGTATTCCTATGGAAATTGGTACTCTCTTAAATATTATTAATAAGCTATTCAGCCTACGACTAACCTATAAGACTTAAATATTTACGTTACTTGATCACCAAGTAGTAACCAATAATATGTCAAATCATGTAGACTAGTGGCCACATCATAACTTGATTGATAGAAATAGATTTGCAGAACTAAATGACTACTAGAGAAACAGGATATTGATCACTATTACGTGATTAATCAATCTATGTTAATCTACCTTTTATTTTGAACGGTATTCACAGTAAAACCTAGATTTTAAAGAACAGATCCGCTTGAAAAGTCACGCATCAAACTTGCTACTTGCACAATAGCAAGTAATTTGGGTTTGGAGAGCAAGAGACAATTGAAATACACTTACATGATTTCCATCACTAGATATTGTTTTTAAAGTGTTCACTAGAAGATTTCCATTTCTGTTACAAAGTCTCTGTAATTTATTTCGAATGAAATAGAATATAAACCAGTTTCAAACTTTTTTAAATGAGAGGTTGTGCTCATTAGTGACTTATGTCAAGCAGTGATTCTTGGAAGTCTGAAGTGAAGTTGTGACCAGTGGAGTTCAACCATATCGATCATGAGGCATTTATCCACTAATGACATAGAAAGGTTTGAATAATTTTTCTGGTGAACGTTTTTCTAGTGAGTTAGTTTTCTACGGGATGGGGTCGCTAACCCCATGACCAACCCTCCTTTATCCGGGCTTGGGACCGACAGTAGCCTCTGGAGGGGCTCCAGGCAGATCCATGAACACGGTAGATCCGATGCAGATGTGAATGCGCGGATCAGCAAAGTAAGTGCAGCATATCTACAAGCCATAGGAAATCTGAAGCGAGGGAGAGCAGCAGGCCCTGACAGGTTTACTCCTGAGATTTTTAAGGATGGTGGTCCAGTATTAGCAATGAGATTAACCGAGGTCTTAGGTAGAATTTGGGAACTGGACGTAATCTCATCTGACTGGTCTCAATCACTGATTGTGCCAGTTTTTAAGAAAGGACAAAAGTCCTCTTGTGACAATCACAGAGGAATCAGTTTGACTAATATAGTGTCTAAAATATTAGCCTCAATAATACTTCGACGCCTAACTAAAGCTCGTGAAGAGCAGACTAGAGAAAACCAGGCTGGTTTTCGACCTGGACGTGGTTGTATAGATCAGATATTCACACTACGTCAGGTTCTAGAACACAGACACACATTCAGACGCCCCACAATGGTAGTATTTCTCGACCTTAAGGCGGCATTCGACTCTATTGATCGTGAGGTTCTATGGCAGTGTTTGTCACTGAAAGGAGTACCAAAGAAGTACATTAACCTTATAAAGGCTCTCTACTCGAACACAACTGGTAGAGTGAGAGCTTATGGCGAACTGTCATCAGAATTGATCACCTCAAGTGGTGTTCGTCAGGGCTGTCCACTCTCCCCATTCTTGTTCAACTTTGTCATTGACGTACTTTTAGAGATAACACTCTCCTCATCTAAATATACAGGGGTTGAACTTCTACCAGGAGGTTCACTTGTTGACTTAGAATATGCTGATGACATAGTTTTATTTGGTGAAGACGCTGACAAAATGCAGAGTCTTCTGACCACTCTAAGCAACAATGCAAGCATGTTCGGGATGCGATTCTCTCCCTCGAAATGCAAAATGTGACTTCAGGATTGGGTTACATCGACACCCGAACTAGTGATAGGTAGTGGAGTAGTTGAGTGTGTCGACCGCTTCACTTATCTTGGAAGTCTCATCAGCCCTTGTGGTCTGGTGTGTGACGAAATCTCAGCACGGATACAGAAGGCTCGACTAGCTTTTGCCAACTTGCGTGATTTATGGCGTAGGCGAAATATCCGTCTATCAACCAAAGGACGTGTTTACTGCTCAGCAGTTCGTTCCGTCCTACTTTATGGTGGTGAAACATGGCCGGTAAGAGTAGAGGATATCCGTAGGTTACTAGTATTTAATCATAGGTGTCTTCGAAACATTGCTCATATATCATGGGACCATCGAGTAAGTAACACAGTTGTTAGGAAACGGGTACTAGGTAAGGATGGCAAATCAATTGATGAAGTAGTGAAACTTCATCAGTTGAGATGGCTGGGACACGTGTTACGTATGCCCAACGACCGACTACCTCGACGTGCTATGTTCAGTGGTATAGGAGTAGGTTGGAAGAAAGCTAGGGGCGGCCAAACCAAAACATGGCACAAGTCCATGAAGTCACTGACAAGTGAACTGAGCCATGTTGGTAGGTGTAGACTACCTGGTTGGGGACCACGAGATAATAGCAATCAATGGTTATAGACGTTGAATAATATGACTCAAAATCGTTTGCAATGGTGCAAGTGCATCCACTCTTTGTGTTCTCCCAAATTCTAATCTTCTGAATTCTTCATGTCCCTTTTTTCCTCTTTCCAAATTTATTTCACTGGATTATACTCATTGAATAACAGCTTCAAACCCTAATCTTCCCGATTACTGCTTATACTCTTATTACCTCTACCACTACGGGATTTGAATCGACAACTGCATCTCTGTGCTAATGTGGTGTGGCAACTCGAACTGATGTACGTACGCACGAAGTTCTATGTTGTTACTGACTGACTGACTGACTGGAACTCAAAAAATCTCAGCCAACACCAAGGTCACAATTTTCAATACAAATGTCAAGGCAGTTCTACTGTATGGGACGGAAACTTGGACAACCACTAAAGCCATCATCCAGAAGATACAAGTGTTTATTAAAAGTTGTCTACGCAAAATACATCGGACCCGTTGGCCAGACGCTATTAGCAACAGCCTATTGTAGTTGAGAACAAACCAGATTGCAGTAAAGGAGGAAATCAGGAATAGGCGATGGAAGTGGATAGGACACACATTGAAGAAAGCACCGAACTGAGTCACAAGACAAGTCCTCATTTGGAATCCTCAAGACCAAAGGAAGAGATGAGGAAGATCAAAGAACACATTACTTCGAGAAATGGAGACAGACATGAGAAGAATGAACAACAATTGGATAGAACTGGAAAGGTCCAGGACAGAGTGGGTTAGAGAATGCTGGCCGGCGGCCTATGCTTCATTGGGAGTAACAAGCGTAAGTAAGTAAGACATAGAAGGTTGGTAATTCAATGACGCGAATTAATTGAAGTTACATATATGAACAATTGGATAGCAGTTCAGTGATCTAAGGGTTACACACTCGCCATTATATCTGAGAATCATGAGTTTGATATGTATCATTAAGCAGTTTCCATGCTAGGATGAAACAAACTGTCCAGTGTCTTTTGGTTTCCATCTGTTTTCTTACTAAGGTCAGAGTATGATGCTAATCGTAAAATTCAAGTTTTCATCTTTCTTGCGTTACCGACAGCCGCCGCCTTTTCCATCTCTTTTGCTTTCGTTGCCCACCACTGCTCACGGTCGTTACTTAGACTTTTACCTAATCTAGATCTGATTTGTTTTCACTCTTCATCGTGTTCAGAGCCTGATGGGATGAGTTTACGTGGATTCATCAGTGCAATAGACTTACAAGAAATCCATTTTTTAAAAAATCTTTGGTTTGAATCACTAACAGATGTCACTCCCGTTTGTATGTCTTTCCAAGCAACATCTGGGTCAGCCTCGTTTTCAGGATTATCTAAGTGTGACCTCAATTGTTCCTGAAACCTAATTTTGGTTTTCTCATTACTCAATTCAATTCAAATGGATCTTCTTAGTGTCGCTTTTGTGCGTCCAGTGAGATGCAAGGAGATACGTACGTGCCCGTATTAGAGCATGGTCGAAGTCCAACCTAGTATTCTAGAATGAGCAACAATCTTCTATCGACCCTCTCTAACGATGATTGTGATGGCAATATGATCTATTTGAGTTTATCGTTGATTTGTTTCAAGGGGTCAACATGAACCGATAAACATATATGCCTGATCCTACGTTATAACCAATTTACTGACTACATTGATAACAATTATTTGCTTTTTCTTCTATAAAACAAATTTAACAAAACAATCATTTGTGTAAAATTCTTTCTTTCAGGGTACAGTGATTATAGTTTCTAATTTTGGTAATCTTATCAATATACCACCAGGTTCAATATTAGAAAATAAAATTGTTTCAGGAAATCTACGCATTTTAGATCATTAAATTATTTAACATTTCAAGTCAATTTAAAGTATTACACTTTATTAATAGAACTTTATATTTGTCATATTTGTGCTTTCATTATTATCATTATTATTTAGTATAATTCATTTGAATATCATTGAAAATGTTCTTATTTATAACTTCATTTCACTTTACCTTAATATACTTACTGTATCTTATATACCTAGACTGATTTAGGTACACATAAATTATACATTTTGCCGTTTTCATATTAACTTAATGAAGAAAGTGATAATCTTTTCTTTTTCATTTTGTTTTCAAATTGTATGTAGGAAACATTACAAATTTAAATATAATAATAATAATAATAATAATAATAATAATAATAATAATAATAATATTGTCTTTTTATTCGAGACTGGTTTTATTCTGTTAATCAAATATTAAAGATTAAATATTTTTCATGAAGTTTTGTTCTCTGAAATAGCTGATTTAGTCGTGGAGTTTTCACAATGTTCTTCTGAACGATATCATCAGTACAAACTTTAGGTAGAAGTGAAATGTTTGAATTTCTCCACATGTAGCTCACAGCTTGTCTTGTATACCTTGACCTTAAACCTGTTAATGTTTACTTGTTTGTTTTGGTTGTATCTCTTATTGAGAGATACAATAAATATCAATCAATATCAAGATATACAAGACAAACTGTGAACCACATGTAGAGAAATTTGATGACGTTCAGAAGAACGATATAAGCTCTACGACCAAATCATTCAGCTCAGAGAATAAAACTTCATCAAAATCATCCATCTGAGCTACAAATCTTCTTCACCATCTCAGAATTAAACATTTTATTGACAGCTTAAGTGTATGATGACTAATTAACTCTAATATCATTGTGTGAAAAGTATATGCCGATTTCGCGTCAGTTATTCTCAACAAGATGTATAATAAATAAGAGATATTCTTTAGTTCGGATATAAAAAAATCATGAGGTTAATTTTTGCTTCTTTGATTTACTTTCAAAGTGAATAAGATGTATTAGGTGTTTGAAATTCTGAACTTAGGTTAGATATATCTGTAATATTCTTATTAGAAACTTATCATCTTTCAGTGACTTAAATCATTGATATTAACCATTAGTTTTTGGTTCGAATATTAAGCCAGTTATACTTTTATAAATAGTACTATGTCATTGTATTCAGTCGAATTTTGTTGATATTTCTAATCTTGTTTCTCTCTATATGTGACGTTACGATAATTATAAGGACAGATTATTTTCGGTATTTTGATTCATATCACTTATTTAAAGTTCAATCTATGGTGGGATTAGTATAGTTAAACGCAGTTACATTTTCATAATGTTGTAGATTGATTTTGAATGCACTTATTCGAGTAGATTATCAAAATTGTTTAAGTATTATATTTGCGCCTGACTCAAATATAAGTGCATTTTTTCACAGTGCTCTAGTTATATATTTAATTATAATTTGTACTGTATCTCTTTATAGTAACGCAAACATGTTAGCTGAGCTACTAATACTGAGAGGTTATGATGATGAACCCGGAGGTAGTAAGAAAATATGGATATTAATTTGGGAAGAAAAATAGTGGGATTTTCTGATCGAAACTAAGGTTATATCTGGTATTCTGTACACTTAAATGTATTATTACTGGAAAGTAACATACTTAAGTTTTTGTGTTGGGGAGCACTGAGTAACCCAGGGTAAATCATGTTTAATTTAGCATGGGTAGTGATTATGATGTACTGTTGTGTTCGAAGAATTGCCAGCGTACAGTTTTTGATCACTGGTGGTTTGTAAGTTCAGTGTTCATTATATGACAGAACATTTTGATAAAAATTTCGAGGTATTTCCATCCTAATACCCACAAGTCTGTGACAAACACTTAGTCACGTTGATTTTTTAAAAATAAAAATGCGGAATGAACTAATAATGAAGCTTAAGCGTTGGTTGACATATATTGATCATTTTTATAAATTTCAATAGTTGAAATCATGAGTCAATTGAAGCTAGACCATCATGGAAAACCTGGAAACATTGGATGGCCGTTTCGTCCTAAAATGAGACTCCTAAGCAATGCGCACCCACGCTCGCGCAAGACTGATAGGTCTTGGGTTCGGATCTCGCAGGGGCAGGATCGTGGACGTGCACTGCTGAGGAGTCCCATACTAGGACGAGATAGCCGTTCAGTGCTTCTAGGTTTTCCATGGTGGTCTAGATTCAATTGATTCACGATTTCAACTACTGAAATTTCTAAAATCGCCACAAAAACCCTTTTGATAACATTTTTATAAACTCAGATTCAAAGCAAATATCAATTAGTTTTATCTAGGATAGATCAATCGAATTAAAATACCATACTAAGGTTTTATTTTGTCTCTATTATCTGATTCTGATTTGATCTGACTGCAGGTAAGTAAGTGTCTTGACTTGACCTCCGTAGTTAATAGCAAACGTTTTTATTTAAATTTTCGTATGAAAGTTGGATTTGGTTTTTGATCAATTTATTTGACTGTAATCCCTTTTATAAACAAAGAAAAACTGTCATTTTCATCAATTTGTATGATGTGAACAAAGGTAATTCAAGTAGTGAACTGATCATTATACAGATTATATATGTATATTTATCATTTTTGCCTACTTTAAAACGAATAAACAATTTTGATAGTATTCGTAAATTTGTCTAAACAATAATGAAAGGGTATGAGAAAGAGTTTTCATTATTTCACTTATTAACACACCTACTGAAATGTTTTCGGCTTTATTACTAATCATATTCATTTAACAACTGGATTGAAGTCTTATTCAGTTTAGACTTTAACAATCCAACAATATATTTTGTACATGATTACCAATAATGAGTCGATTACATCAAAATTTGTATTATAGAAAGAAATCTGAGATAAGTAACTTTCGATATCACAAAAATGAAAGATAAGAATTATGCCTTTGGTAAACATCAAATTACGTTCGTTTGCTAATGTTTTATATTTTGAAAACATATATATCTTACTTTATTCCCAATGATATCCTATTAAAGATGTTTGATCATCGATTAAGTAGGTCACATAATAGTAATAGTGTGGTGCGTGCTACTTATATCGATGTAAGTAGTATATGACGCGAGTTAAACATGCAATGTCTGGCAGCAGAAAATGGGGAAAAATCAAGAAAGGAAGAGCGACAACACAATGCAATTTGTAAGAAAACGCATGAAAAATGAGATGTGAAACAATTGATTGATGTTTGCAACAAGAACAGTCCAGGTTGATATGATGGATTGGTATTTTGCAAATTAACGATTTACTATATGGTTTTTCTATTTTACCAAGTAACTCTGTAATTTTACATTAAATATGATTCCGTTATCCTCACCTGTGTTCTCCTTCACTATAATAGTACAGAGCTGTAATACAATACACCAGTGGTAATGAGCTTAAACTGATGAGTTCAAAAAGATAGTAAGGAAATATATACATATTTATTTATTATGCAGATTAAATAAAATCAAAGTAAATCCGATCGAATTCACAATTGAATTGTTGAAAATTTCAGTAAATGTGCAAATATGAAGTTTTAAATTGACAACTGAAATAGTTTTTTTTTTAGATTTTAGAAATTTTCGTTGTTATTTCTTCCCAACTTAATCTAGCCATATCTCCGCAAACATTTAACAAACATTGGGCTTGATTTCTTGAAGTTGGTCGAAGAACAACAACTTCACTTAAGTGATATGATAATAATGCATTTCCACCTAGGCTAGTTGTATGTGCTCCAACAACAGCTTGTACTTCAGCTAAACTTGTATGCAAAAAACCCGATATACCACCAACCTGTAACATAAATAACGTTTCTAAATTTATTCAAATAGTTTAGATTTTGCAAAAAATAAATATGGAAACTTATATAAAAAAATGTCATTGAAATTGCTAAATGTAGCTGTTTGGTTTTTGATGATATTTCGCAATAATGTGTAGGCCGATGAACTCAGATAGAATGGAATCTAAGAAATATGTAGGTCTCAATGCTAATGGCATGATACCTAACAAAATCATTGAGTTATAGGACACAGTTGTTGATATTTCTATGTACGCTAATTAATCACTACGGAGTGATCAATATCATGTTTGTCTGGTACTTCAATACTGGTCGAATTCTATCGACCAGGTTGCAATGTGGCCGCTAGTCTAAGTGACTCAACATCGCGTTATGATATTAGGTGGCAGGTAGTTAGGAAACTTTGTTTGGCTTAGATTTTGTGCTAGTTGTCACTAATCTGGAGATGGAATCTTGAGGAGACTGGTGGTTTCCGTGAGATTTGGACCGTCGCCATTGAGCTACTCAAGCTGTAACTGACCTCTAGGGTTTCCTGATGAATATTTCCAACCACATTGAGGTTTTGTTTAAGGAAATTAAACGGTCTCTTTATAAAATCAATTCACAGACATATTTTAATTCGCAATGAGTACAAACATTAAAATCAATATATTGTTCGATAGAAGACTATTCCAGTTAATTCACTTGCATAATGGAAGTTAATCATAAAGTGAATTAGTTTAAGTATACCTAATTTACCATGAACACTAAATAATCAGTGAATAAGGATTCATTTCGGAAAAAAAGCAATCAGCCAATAATATGCCATCATTAATTTTACAGTTGTCTAACATAATCAATTTTGACACCACCGACCTCTTTCATACTGTAATGTGTGTAATATGTGCCTGGTCCTACGTTGTAACTGACTAACTGACTGACACTGTAATGTAGTATAATTTCGAACAATATGACAATTATAACACCAGTATAGAGGTTGTGAAGATTGTTAAGTTTTGATTGAGATCATGAACCGATTGATGTTAGACTACCACTGAAAATCTGGAAGCACTGGACGGCTGTTTCGTCCTATTGTGGGACTCCTCAGCAGTGCGCATCCACGATCCCGCTCGCTGGATTCGAACCCAAGGCCTTCAGTCTCGCACGCGAACGCTTAACCTACTGGACCACTGAGCCGGCATCCAATGGTGTTAATTTCCAACCTAAACCAATCCACAAAGTTGCGTTCGCGTGCGAGACTGAAGGCCTTGGGTTCGAATCCAGCGAGCGGGATCGTGGATGTGCACTGCTGAGGAGTCGCACAATAGGACGAAACGGCCATCCAGTGCTTCAAGGTTTTCAATGGTGGTCTAACATCAATCGGTTCATGATCTCAATCAAAATTATAACACCGTTATATTTATCGTTTATTTGTAATAATTAACGTTAAAAAATATATTAGTAACAAAAGGAACTTACTTCTCTTAGATCAGTCGTTTCTCTAACAAAAAAGAAATCCAAATTACCAAGATAAG